ACACGGCAAAATATTTAATGTCTGCCTTATCCTCCCATTCCTGTTGTGATTCAACAGCCTCCCCAAGATGGAGTATCAGAGAAAACATGGGCACTTTTTCTCAGCAGGATTTGGAAACCATTAAGGCCCTAGTTCTCTTGACTTGGAACCGAGTGCAGGTGAGATCGTTCCACAGCATGCCTCAGGCCTCTCTGTTCAAGGAAAATAGCCCCCCGGTTCTACGGGACTCCTGAGGTTTTCTGTTCTTCTGCAGCCTGGCGCCGGGAGCTGCGCCGCTGGAAATAGTGGTAGACTCGGGCACTGCAGAGGTAGCCCCCGTACACAGTGAGGAGCATCATGGAGGTAGAGAAGGTCTTGTAGCCAATGTCAGCTAGTTGCTTGGCAGTTGGCATGTTGTCCCCCTCTAGGACTCCGCTCCGGACGCCAGAGATAGCAGCGTGCGGAACACTACACAAAGCCACCCACCAAGGATGCAGCCTAATGATTTTTATTTCAACCTCTAGCTTTGCTTATCTTACCCTTTCACTTAAATTGAAAATCATGTGCCATTTTGGAAAGGTCAGGGGCTCTGGACCATACCGCTTCCGGAGCTGTGTGAACTTGGACAGAGCCCTCTCCCCATCCCCCCAAGTTTCCTTATCTGTGAAATGGAATTAAACTACCCAAAGTTCATGGGATCGTTGTAACACTGGTGCCTGGCACGTATCAGGTGCACATTAAAAGTCTGTTTCTTTCCCAAACTGGATGCAACCAAACCAACACGTTAGTTCACATCTTTTTCGTTTCTTTGCTTGTGTAAGTTCATGCCTTTGGGTTTAAGGTTGCTCAAGGGAAACCTTTCTCGGGTCTTTTTTTCATTCTTGTAAGAAGATCGGGGCTCGCCTTTATTTGCTTGTAACAGCGCCTTTTGTACCTTGCAAATGAGTTTCAAACGCATCAAAAGCTGGATCTGGTAGTCCAGTTTGGTCTGGTAGTGTACGGGTTGGCAAAACTTTCAATATTTGTTGTTGCTGATTCAGAGTGTTTCGCCAGACCTGTTGATGCATGCTTTTATAACTATAATTTAAAAGGTTTGGATGCAGTTTATAAGCATTACTCATTTTAAGAGGATTTAAGAGGATAAGATCATTTTAGATTCAAGAAGAGAATATTAGTAATAGCCATTAGCCTTTTATTTTTAAAAATTTTTTTTTCAACGTTTATTTATTTTTGCGACAGAGAGAGACAGAGCATGAACGGGGGAGGGGCAGAGAGAGAGGGAGACACAGAATCGGAAACAGGCTCCAGGCTCTGAGCCATCAGCCCAGAGCCTGACGCGGGGCTCGAACTCGCGGACGGCAAGATCGTGACCTGGCTGAAGTCGGACGCTTAACCGACTGCGCCACCCAGGCGCCCCGCCATTAGCCTTTTAAAATAAACTTACATCCCAACATAAAGTGCCTCACATGCAAACAAGTATTCGGACCTGTATTAACTGGTAGTATTCAAGGATGCGGTCAGAGCCGCAAAAATGCCTGCCAACGTATGATTGTTGGCACTAAGCTGCCGATTTGAGTCTGGCTCTTTAAACCTGAAATGCTGTATCAGTGACACACTTTATTATTGTTTGGTCCAATAATAAAGAACTTTCCGGAAGGGCACCAAAACAGATACTGTATTTTTCAGTTTGTCCTGGTGGCACCCTTTCAATTCTATTTTTGGTGCTACGTTTGGGAGTTTGAAAGGTTCAAGACAACACTAAGCCAGTCAGCTGGCACTACCTGCAGGCCCTCTAGCAGAATGAGCGTTGTCTCCCAGAGTCTAGATGGCACCCACAGTCACCGCGCTTGTCTCTTGTGTCTGCAGGTGGTGGGAACTGTGCACTTACTTTCCTGCCCGTGCCTTCTTAGGTGCTCATGAGGCCTGAGCTGGTACCACAGCACTAGCCACTCAGTTGCAGGAAAAACACATTTTGTACACTGATCACAATTCGGTAGGACACTTCCGAAAAGTTATTAATGCCCTGGCTGAGAACCCCGGTGATATGCACTAGTCACGTCCAGTCCACTTGTGAATTTTTATGTGCTATATTTGGCAGACCTACGTGAAGATCTTGTTACTTAGCCATTCCAAGATACCCAGGTTTCTGTTGTTACAGGATAGGCTGGAAAGTATAACAAACGAGTCCAGCTTTGCCTTCTGGGGTTGACCGTTCGTAGCCAGGGTCTCTTAACCAACACTGGCTCTGAAATATATGTTAGCTATTTTTTTTTTAATGTTTGTTTATATGGGGAGGGGAGGGGCAGAGAGAGAGGGAGACACGGAATCCGAAGCAGGCTCCGGGCTCTGAGCTGTCAGCCCGGAGCCCGACACGGGGCTCAAACCCATGAGCAGTGAGATCATGACCTGAGCCGAAGTCGGACGCTTAACCGACTGAGCCACCCAGGCGCCCCGATATGTTAGCTATTTAACCAAAGATACAGATCTCCAAGGCTTTAATCCATTTGGAATTTATTGTTGATGAGAGGGTACAGTGTAATCCCCCGGTCAGGAGCCTGATCCTTGGAACCAGGCAGACCAGCGTCGGTTTCCAACTACGGGACCTTGGGCAGGGTGCTTGACTTTCCTGACTACCAGGTCTTACCCTGAAGATTTGGGATAGTAACAACCCCAGTCCTCACAGGATCGTTGTGCAAACGCAGTGTTGTAACGAATGGACCATGTTTCTCCTAAGAGTCTGACGCACATCAGATCTACTCCTAAGATCTTCCACGCATCCTTTCTTATTACTACTCATGTGCTCTAAGATGTGAGCTACATTGATTTTTTTCTCTGTTGCAGTGCAGTTACTTCGTACTACTTATTAAATTCCTTTTCTTATTGTTACTGAAATATATATGATTTTTATTAAATTCGTTGGTATGATTGGGTTCCCTGTTACTTCCCGCTGATCTAGATTTCTGATTTTGTGTCACATAATACACCATTGTGATTATTGTTATTTTGTTATAATATTGTATATGATCAGTCCTAACCAGAGCTATAAATATTTGAGCCCTGAACGGCAATGAAATGGGTTTCAAAAAACGGTACCCCGTGGCACTCACCAAACCAAGGGGGAAAAAAAATCCCTGTGGAAGAAAATAAGGCAAAGAAGGGACCCAGGCCCTGCCTCTGAGGATTTCTCCTTGTGAAAGCTCAATTCCCTTTACATATAATCAGAAATCATGTTTGAACTTGAACTCACACCTCTCCTCCCGTTTCCAACCATCTCCTAGTCTGAATGTAGGATTTGACAAACGTGTTGCATACCTGTGAGGTTGTCATGTGGGTTCTAGCTCTGATTATTCATTCTTTATACACCCACTGAGTTAGCCTTAATCACTGTAAACTCCGTGAACATGAAATGAGACCAGCACTGGTAGCTGCAGAGGAATCCGCATTATTCACCAACATTTTGGGGACACAGCGTTTGCCAGAGCCCCGCGCACCCGCCGAGCTGGGCTGTAAGCGGTGCAGGTTGGCGTCTCGCCACAGAGATGCTCGAGGTTGCAAAAGTGGTGGCCGAGCAGGCCTGCGCTGGCGGCAGCCAGAGTAGCCCGTGTGTCTTTCTTGGGCCGTTAGGACTTGGCAACGTTGAGAACCACTCAGTGCTGCACCTGAAATCAGCACCCGTGTGGACCTAGAAACCGGCCCCGGGTTGGTTTTGGATCTCGGCAAGAGGCCAGACGGTCGAGACCTGCCGATCGCCCTGACAAGTAGGGGCAAACCAAAACTCAAGCGCGGCCCAGCATAAAGGGGATTAAAAGGCAGCGGCAGGGGCGGGCCTGCCACGGGCGGGCTCAGGGCCTGTTAACAAACGTGCGCGTCCGGAGCGGAGACGGAGAACGCGGCCCGCGACCATGGGCAGGCGCGCGCGCAGGGCGGCAGCAGCGGCAAGGCGGCGTGGGAGGGCCGCCAGGGCGCGGGAGGAGCACGGGCCAACAGGGGCCGCCAGGCCTGAAGCACGGCGCAGCGAGCCGGGGGCGCCAGCCCCCCCGCCATAGCCCGCGAAAATGTTGGAGATCTGCTTGAAGCTGGTGGGCTGCACTGCAAATCAAGAAGGGCTCTCTTCACGTCCTCCAGCTACCCTGGAAGGTAAGCCTCCCGGCCAGGCCGACGCTCAGGCACGGCGGCGGCGGGGCCGCGCGGCCTTCTCGGGCGCGCCCGCCCGCCCTTGCTGCCAGCCTCCCTCCGCGCCTCCCTGCCTCGCCTTTTCCCTTTCTCTGCCCCGCGTTCTTGCTCTCTCCTGAGTGCACCGCGACCCCGCCTGGGCTGGGCAGGCCGAGCTGGGAGGGTGAGCTCAGTCCCCGCGCCCTGCCACCAAGTTCCCACGCCGGGATGGCGATGTCTCCGGGTTAGCCGGAGGCTCTCGAAGAAGTTTGAGAAAGCGAACTCTACAGGCCCGAACGGCCCTGTGAGCCCACGTTGTGGAATTTCCACCGTGAATTGGGAATTATGTGTCAAAAAGGTCGACCCGTGTTTGTGAAACATGTGATTCTCATTAAGTGTCGTGTACAAAGGAACACCGCTCTACCATTTATGGGTACGGAATTTCAAGTGATTTTTCTACCCCACGCCCCACGCGCCCGCAACCCCCAACCCACTCTTATCTGCAGACCACGAAGAGGTCTTAGGAATTCTCCCTTTTCGCGAGGATGGGGGAAGCGAAGTTACACATTTGAGGAAGGCGTTGTGAATGAGTCCAGCGTACTTGGCGGGGGAGGGGGGGACCTCATGTTGGGTTCGCTCCATAAAGTGCAGAGCCAGGAGCATCTTTCTTTTTGCCTTTTTTCCGTTCTGCTTTCCTTTCCTTCTCTCATCCCCTGTGTCCTTCTTTCCTGTTGCCTTTCCTTTTCTTTGCTAAGTAACAACTGAAAGAAAGTGAACCGGGGAGGGTGCATGGGGGTCGTCATTTTGGACTTGATCTGACTTAGGGACCGGACATCCCAGATGAAATCCTGCTGGTATTTCTCTGTCATTTTCACTGAGGACTTAAAATAGGAATAGAAATGTAAAGCTCATCTGAGAACAAGTTGGATTGCTGCTAGTGTGCCATGAAGTTGTAACGTACTTCTTTTTAAAAGGAAGGAGAAATAAACGAAGGCCTCATAAATGGTCTAACCTCTTTTCCTTCCAACCTTTTTTTTTCAATACCCCCGTGACCCTCACCAGCCACCTTTTTTTTTTTTTTTTTTTTTTTTTTTTTTCCTTTCTGATTTGAGGGCCTGCCTGGAGTCACATAAGCAGCTTAAACCATAAACACCAGTGATGCAGGTGAAACCTGTTTGCTCTTGCTTTCACAGGATGTGGACATCCATCCCTCTTCCCTGCCTGCGATTTTGGGCCTTCCAGCCGGCTCACAAAATCCACCATTTGGAGGGAGGAGATGGTTTATTTGTCCCTGAAAGTTGGCATTTGAAGCGGCCAAAATCATCTTCAGTTCATGCGT